TAACATTCCCCTATTCTCTGTTGTAACTTGTTACAAAATTTTTACATATCTCCTTTCCTGTACAGATGTCATATTTGAATGACTCCTTAGATTAAACAATATTCAAAGAATTTCTCCTCAAACTGCATTTATAAGCATTATTTTATAAAACTACAACGCTATAACAAAAATTCTATTTTGATATATGCAGATGGGTCTAAATATAACGATTATGTTGGATCAGCCATAGTTTGTTGTGATAAAATCCTGGCAGATCAGATTTTTCTTTGGTATTTCATCTTCACTGCATAGTTAGCTTTGAAGCATGTTACAGGGATATTCACAATGGGAAGCTTTTTTAGTTTTTACAAAAGTAGCATTCTATGAACTGTGAACATACACTCTGATGGAATGATTTTCAATCCTTATTTCATTTTTGTTAGAACACTTTACTGGTTGGTATTGTCTTTTGAGTATTACTTTCTGCCATTTTTTTAAAACACATAACAAAAACATAAGTAATCACAGCTATATGTAAATACCAATAAACCAGCAAAAAATAAAAGTAATAAAACAAAAACAAATGTTTTCTTCCATTTTAAACAGTGATTCTCAGGTTTAATGAATGCAGATATAAATTAATGTGTTTTTTAAAAATAGAACATAAATTTAAAAGCTGGAAATGTCATGAAATATATGCATGTTTATGTCAAAGTTTAACTTCATGCTTCAGTCCCAATAATATGTTAAGGATTTTACAATATAAAAATAAAAGAATTTTACAAAATACAAAATGTATGTCTTAATTCAAGACTTTTGGGAGGTCATAGAATGCCCTCCATGCAGTTGAAAGAGAGTCCATTTCATTATTAATCTCTATATCCCTTTTAAAGGCCTTGAATACTTTTATTATTCAAGAAATTTCAGGCTGGTTAAGTCATCACGGTGGTGTAATAAACGGGCGTTATCAAATTTAACCTGAATGTCATTATCATCAGCAAAAGTAGCTAGTGCATTTGTAGAGATAACATAAAAACATCTCTAAGCCAGTAGTTATATTAAATTCAAATGGTTGCTGAATTAAATCAAGCTAAATTACCTCTATTAAATGTCTGAAAGCAAAGGATCAATGGAGGTGCATCTGTACAGTAAGCAGCATTTGTTTGAGTTCTGCTTCAGGCTGATTCTTTTCTTCCAGAATTTTCTGAATTGTTTAATAATTAAATTTAGTAAGAGATGGCATCTAATGCCTATCACTAGTGACAAATTACTCAATATTTAATTATTAATAGTAGTGGTAATATAGCCCAATTTAATCAGCAATCATTTGGTTTTCACATAATTGTCAAAGTTTGTCAGTTGAGGAACCAGTCAGTAAACATTGCTCTGAGGAAGCTTTCTGTTAAGCTGTTGGCTTTTGACATAGAATCTACAGTAATGAAAATGAGGTCTGGGAAAAGAAGTGCTTTCATTACTTTAATAAAGATTCAAAACCTGGTATAGCCAAAAGCTATGGATTATGAATACCCCTTATGGAGAAAAGTTATCATTGTTGCATTATTTTTTCTGATTCATTTAGTTTACTCTAGGCTATGTTGTTGTTCAAATTCATTTCATATTCTATTCTAGTCAAAATTTATAAATTACTATATTTATATCATGGGAATTAGATGGAACTTTTATCCAGAGGCTCAAAAAATTACCCTGTGTCTTATTTGTGATGTTGTGATCTATAGGCTAATGAATTTCCCAAACTGCTTTCAGTAGACTGTATATAACTCCAAATAAAGCCTTGCATATACTTTGCCCAACTGTTCGATAAAAAACTGTCAAAGTTACTGGATAGCATAAATACACTAAATATTATGCTGAAATGGGGTGTGTCTAATATTCCATAAAATATGGTAAGTTTTTTTTTTATTCAATGAATTTCTTAAATTTTGTTGTCCCAGGCCATGTCTGTATGGAAATGCAGTTATTTTCTGGACATTTAATGTCTAGTGAAGATATTGACTTTAATAATTAAGAACAACTAGAAGATATATGGCAAAATGTATGGAATTAAAAAACCTATAATAAATTGCATGAGATTTAACCAGTGATAGAAAATTAGACACCATATGAAGTTTGAGAGAGATATGGAACTATTCTTGTTTGAAAATTAGTTGTATATTGCCATCTCAGCATCTCAGTACTTTTGAAGGGGGAACAAATTAGTATGTCACGTTTGTGACTCTGTTCTAAGCATTAAATGCATTTTGACTGAATGTTATGAGTTCAATAATATAAAAGTATAGTATTTTAGCAGTGAAACAATAAATGATGCTACTGTATTAATGATTGTGTCACATTGTGTGAAAATGTTATTTGGAACTGTGTGTTTGAGGTGAGAATGCAGAAGTATATTTTACTTATTTTAACTTTTGTGCTGTTCTTTGTTAATGCATTACAGCATCAAAAGGCTGTGTTAATAGTCTAGATTCATTTTGTTATATATGATATAGTTTTGTGGTGAAAAAGAGGCCTTGTAATATAACATGATGTATGATTATGTACAGTATATATGATTTGTCTCCATTTTCTCAGTTTTTCAAACAAGCATGTGAAATATATGACCCCCTTCTTGTCCTGGTGTATCATGCATATTTCAACATAAAGCATGGTGACCAGGACAAAAAAGGGGTCATATATTTCACGTGCTTGTTTGAAAAACTGAGAAAATGGAGTCAAAGCAAGTAAACCCCTACATTTGCTATTCCAGTGATATGATGGAAGCCAGTAAGTTATGAGGAATGTTATTTTTGTCTGATCACAGCCATAAAGGGCTATAATAATAAAAATAGAAGGAATATTGTCTATTCCAGCAGTTCTCAAACTTTTTTGTCATGGAATCCATCAGAATCCTTCTGATTTTACTGATGAGTATTGATCTATCAATCTTACTCAAAAGTAATTCAATGGCAGATTCAAATTTTGTTCTTAAAGCAGAGATACACTGAGTTTTAATAAGCTCTTTATACTTCATTGTAAATTAAGTCATTCAGTGGCATGGACAGCATGTGAGGTTTATTTTGGTTGAGAATTGAATTTTACACCCAATCAGTGTTCATGTTGATGTCTGGAAAGTACTCTGACTGGAATTTCATTTGCATTAAATGTTCAAAGTGTTTTTTGTGCAAATTGGCTTTGATTTCCAACTTTTGGGCAGTGTTGTTTGTTTGTATAAATGGAAAAATAGAGAAGCTGATAGTTGTTCAGTATACTGTCTTTTCACATGGAAAGTTAGTTTGGTAGTTATCAAAATGAACGACATTATCTTTGATGGTCTTATTTTAAAATGCATTTTAAATTTGATTTTTAGCTTTTTTTTTTTTTTTTATAGAACCCCTAATCCCTGAGGTTAGGGGTTTTATTTTTCTTATAGGGTTCTATGAAAAGGTTATATTTTTCTTATTTTGTTAGGCATTGCATTTCAATATTTCAATACAGTTTATTTTTTTATGATAATTTGGAATCTTTTTTGGTTCTATATGATTTCGCTGTAGTAGATATGGAGAGTGATGGTATTGCATACATCTTTAGAATAAAGTGTCATTATTATTCTTTTCCCTTAACAATAGAGCACTTTAAATGAGAGAAAAGGATAGGTTTTTTTATTTTTATTTATGTTATTTATCTCTTGTCTCATTTACAATATAGGATATGATATAGAGTTTGACTTGCAAAAAGTTTTAATTCACTAAATTTTGAGAGGAAATGGTAAAAATAAATATTAAACATATTTATGTATGTATTTATTACAAGGAGCACTGATAATTTGCAATTTGTGAAAAAATATACAAAGTTTTGACAATACACTACATCATTTTGATAATTTTTGTTTGGAACATGTTTGTTAAGAATGTGTATTGTTATTCAGTTATTCACATAATATTTTATAATATATAACTTTATCAAATTTGAGTCATAGGAGTATAGAATATAATAAAAACTTAATCTTATTGAAAGCATTTGAATTTATATTTCTTGGCACATGGAAGTGACTTTAAAAACAATGAATTAATTGTTTAATTTGGATTATGTTTAACTTGTAATTTCAAGTAGAATCATCTTTTGAAGTGTTCAAATTTTATTTTTAAAGAATAAATACAACTAGAAAACTATTTTGATATTATTTTAATGACTATATAATAATAAAAAAGTACAGCTAAAAAAGTTGCAAGCACTTTCAGTAAAATAAATTTACTATCATCATGTATTGTTAGAGTTAATAATAACATCTTTCTTTAAAGAATATTCATGTTCCCTGTGAACCATATTTCTGAAAATATTTAATAATATATTCTGTCTGTATGTAAATAGTCTATATAAACTGTGTGTTATTGATAGAATATGCATTTTTGTGACAACTGCACTCACTTAATCACTTAATCATTAAATTTTAATGATTAAGTGATTAACTATTGAAACTCAAAAATTATTATAAATTTAATTCTCTTGCATTTAAGAAAATAAATTACTTTGTCAGTTTTAAGCTGGATCTTAGCAAGTTCCTTTTCTTTCCATAATATTTTTTACAGATTAAAGCTAGTGTTTATATACTGAATAAACTATCATAAATTAAAATTTCTTAGAAGAAACACCTTTTACTTTTTTCTCTTGAAGAAATAGTATTTATTAGAATAAAAATTATTGTATAATTTCAATATAACTTTAATAGTAAAACATTTTAGCATGAAATTTTAAATTAGTTCATGTTTAGCTCTTTTAATATAACAAGAGGTATTTTGCTGACATACTGTGCTATAAGTTATTTTTCCTCTCCTGGTTAATAAAATTATAAAATTCTATTTGTATCTCACACTGTGTTATCTTACATGTCAGCAAACAAAATAATTTTTTTATAAAAACAATAATGCATTAAAACATCCTGCAAGTATGTTATTAATTATTGCAAGCATTTTATTTTTTGTGAGAAATAATCTTTATAAAAAAAATTGTAATTGATCTTTTATTTTTAGCAGTTGGGACAGCATTCTCAGTCCAGTCAACATGAGTCATCTAAGTCCAATCCAACTGAACAGTTTTTGCATCAGTTATCTGGCCAGGAAAAAGATCCTGATATTGTAATGTTAGATCATTGTTATGCAAAACCATGGAATGCTCATCCTGATGCAAGTCATGCAAAACCTGCTCGTATGCTATTTATGAAGGGAATACCTCGCTATCAAGTGGAACAATTGAAGTAAGATTTTGAATGCTTATAAACTAGTAAACAAAATTATTAGTCTTAATTTTTTATGTACAGTAGTATTAATTAGTACTTGAACTTAATTTATTCCAGAAGGCTGTTTGAGTGCCAATACGTTTGCATACCAAATGAATTTTTCCTTTAAGGAATAATGTAATTTAGATTAATCTTTTCCAGACCCCAAAAATTATAAATGTATTTTAACTGGAATTTCATTATAACAGTTGTGAAATTTAACACATTATTGCTAATGTGAGATTGTATTCTTTGTTTAGAAGTTTATTTTAAACTTTTTACTTCACGTTTTGTTTAAATAAAATGAAGTCAAAATATTTGCAGATAAAATACATATCTGATATATTATGCTTTATGAGTTTTGGAAAGTGTATAACACTGTACAAAACAGTAAAAAGATTCATAATGTGTATGAGGAAGATGGTCTTAAACTCTGAATATATCAAATGTTGTTTTAAAAGTGTCGTTCTGGAATTCTGGAAATTTTAAACTAAATGATACAAGATAGAAAAGTGCTCAAAAACTATCAACAAAAAAAAATGGCAGGAATAAATTGTTAAAAATTGACATTAAGATTTGTTGCAAGTTCACAAATTAATGTGTGTCAGATATGTATTGTTGAAATGCTTCGACTTGAAATGGCTGCAAAACAGAATGATTGGGCTCTGCATGTATTAAGGGAAAAAGCAACTGAGTCAAATATAATTTTGTCTGATGAGAGTAGATAACTCTCGGATTTTATTTTATTTTTAAATTAGTTACTCATTTTTATCATAGAAAACTTTTTAAGTGACAAAATTAAAGTTAAAATAAAAATGTTTGCTGTTAATCGAAAATTTGTGCTAGCAGGTCATGTTTGTTCAGTCAAGTACAGATTTTTTTCTTGTTTGTGTTTGATTATCAAATTATTCTAGTTCAGAGCAGTTCATATACTGAGATACTGCTGTATTTGGTTTCATACTGTTTAAAATTTTTTCTAAGCATAAGTTTGAATAAAATATAATTTTTATTTTCCTATTATAACATAACATGAGAAAGTATTGTATGTAATGGGATAGACCTGACACTCTGGCTTAACTAGACCCTTGTGCCACAAAAACCCCAAATTGAACCAAACCAACCAATCAGAAAGTATTGTAATCATGTCAGATTTGATCCTCCTGGTATTTTGCAAATGTCAACATTTTGAGATCCTCTGACAAAAAGTTATCTGCAGAAAATTATGGTAACTGAAATGTGATTATAATTTTAAAATAGTTTTAATAATACTGTATACAATAATTTTATTATTAACATGCAAGTTTGAATATGATTATATATAAAAATTAATTTATTAAACTAAGCTGTTAAATATTTTTTCTTAAAATTTTTAATTTATATATTTTTTTTATTCTTTACACATTCCTACCTTATATAAGCATTCTGTAAACAATTTCAATATCAGGAATTTGGATATTAGGAAGTTTTTCATTTCTTTTTTTTAATGGGAGAAATTCTTCCTCCTAAAATTCTTATTACTATATTCTTTAATGGTTATAAATCATTATTGGTTATAAATTAGTTGCAAGGTGAAATATATGATTTACTCTAATTAATATACAGTCATCTTAACATTCTATCAAGGTTCATGCTGCAATATATGCAAGGTTTATGCATGCAAGGAGATTCTTACTCCCTTTTAGGAGTAAGAATTTCCTTTTTACTCCTAAAAAGGAAAACTCCTAAAATCTACTTTTTAAAGGAGTAAGAATTTCTCCCATTAAAAAAAAAAATGTCTATTTAATTAAGTTTAATCAATTTTCCTAAAAGGCAGTAGAATGCTGCAAAAAACTTGCGTACCTATCAATCCATGTTTTTTTAGCATGGTACTAAATGTTACAAATTTCAGTTATCTTACTGAAACACTTAATACTCATTAAAGAATACAGTCATAAACAATAGTCAACTTGTTTAGAAGTTCCTATTAGAAATTGTATATGAATTGCATTTTCTTTTATATTTAGTAGAAGCAATAAAAATGTTATAATGATACTGTATATTTTACTAGTATGACTCAAATTTATTACAAATGTGCTTTGTGAAATTCATAATATAGATATTATTTAATTTGATGTTGTAATGGACATTGTTTATTGCAACATGAACCTTGATAGAATGTTTAGATGGCTGTATATTAATTAGAGCAAATCATATTTCACCTGCAACTGATTTATAACCAATTGAATTTAATTTTTAAGAAAAATAAAATATACATAATAAACTTCATTAAATTGTATTTTATGAAGTTGATATAACTACTACCATATTGAAATGAGTATTAAATTGAACACAATTAAACTGAATTTTTTTGTTTTTATGAAATAAATATTTTGATAATTCAGAAAAGGTGGTGTTTTTGAAATATGCCTATTATTTCAAAGTTTGAATTATTTATTTTAGTTTTGCTTTAGAATAAAAAATTATAAATTTAATTTTTTTATTATTATATTCATCTTTAGTGATCAAGATACAACAGTTGGTATTGATGCTATTCCTATTAAACATATTCCACCGTATGATACAACAAAAAATCGGAATCTCATGAATGAATGTGAACGACACATTAGTTTTATTCGTTCAGACGATACATCAGACGATTGGGAAGAAAGGATTAAAAGGTAAATAGATTTTAAATATATAGAAAATCTAAATGAAATGAAAAATTTTTTATAATAAAAAGAAAGTAAATATATACACTGAGTGCGGCATTAAGGTTTTTATTTTCACTGGTGCTTTCAAATCATTATCAGGAAAATGAAATTTTTTTCTTTTTGAATTTTTGAAGCATTTTTATTTCAAATTCTCTTTATGTTTATAAAAGATGATTTCTTTGTTAATTTTATAATGTTTTTTTTATAAAGATTGTTCATTTGAAAAATGTTATTTTTATGTTTGAAAATTATTGCACTTTTCAAAATTTTGATATTTAAACATGAGTAGTTCGTTGTTCTTTGTTCTTTGAGTAGGTTTTTTCTTATTTACAATCAAATTTTGTAACAGATATGAATTTTACTTTCTTCAGTTTCTGATAAATATAATACATTAAAAAAAATAGGAGAAATTTTCTTCCTTAGGTAATTCACTTTCTTTTATCATAAAGTGTTAGCATTTAAACAACAAACTCCAATTACTATTGGGCCAAAGTTCCTGTGTAATAGGTTGTTCTAAGCAGTTTTATGCTTAATAGGAACTATATTTTATTAAGTTTATTTGTTCTATCTATGAATGTAACTACCAGAGTTATAATTTTTTCTGTATTGTTGTTTGTGACTGGCATAGAATACTAAATAAATTATAAATGGCATAGAATACTAACTAAATTATAAATGGTATAGAAACTTTTAGAGATCATTAATAAACTTCTTAAACTGGAGTTGTGTGTAAAATTAAAGAGTTATAGCCTATTCCAGCAAGAAGTTTTTATTTATCAAAAAGTTTTTGGTTCTTTTAGTAGCCATCATAAGTATCGAACATACATGTAATAGAATTCTTTTAAAATTTAAATTTCAATGTTCTTAACAGAGTTTAAAACATAAATCTATGATAAATAACAAATAACATAAAATGAATTCATAAATACAAAAAAAAATAAAACAAGTAAAGCGGCAAAACCGGTATTTGGAACAAGACTGTCTCGGAGACTCACTACTAAGCAGAATCACTTTGACGCTCAAGGCGGATCTTGTTCTCATTCTCCAATCTTCTTTGGTATCTCTGCTTTTGGGCGCGATCATTCAAACTTCATTGGCCATGACCATGAGGTCATCCACCATGCATTTTCGATGAAATTAACCTATTCAATTTCGAAATTTCTCTCCATTGCATGTCCGCCCGGGTTGATTTTTGTCAATGTGTAATGAAAATTTCCTGTTTTTGAAAAAAATAATCGTGGCTATTGTATCATCCGAAACTATTTTTTTTATTTTGCACAAACAATATACAGTTTAACCCAATTATAACGTCATTGGATGTAATGACAACCCTAATATGACATCAAATTTTTATCGGTCCCACGATTTTACTATACTAGATAATCTATAGTAATATTATAAAGAGGTAATGTTTGTAAGTAAGTATGTAAGTTTGGATATAGCAGATAATCTCCGAAACTACTCATCCGATTTCAAAAATTCTTTCACCAATATTTAGAATGGAACTTCAGGGTGGACAAAGGTTGTATATTATTCCATTAAACATTCATATAAATTAAATGATATCATATATGGTTAAGGCTTTTATGTCCAACAGATGGTGCTACGAGTATGATGCCCTAAGTTTGCTTTTCTGTGAAAATGAACTAAAGCAGATCATCATCTATCTATCTATAGAAATAAAAATGTAATGTTCGTTTGTTCCTATCGATTCCTTTGAAATTTTGACACAATGCTGCATTCGAATACACATGTGTTTTTATGTAATATACGTGTCGAAATTCAACCCCACTGAAGGGAGATGGTTAGGATTAAGGCTTACGGTAATGAACTCTGCTTCTATTTATACTATTTTAGATGCAGGTTTTTGCGTTTTTGATTGTGTTTTAATAGGGTACGTCAACAGAATGTACACTAAGAAGAAATTTTTCGAAAAATTCCCCCCCACAGGGGAAGTGTTCTAAATTTATAATAGATACATTTTAAGCCACAACAATATGTGGCGGTGTCTGCTAGTGTTAAAAAAAAAAAAAACAGGGTGTCGTTACAAGTAGGTTAATGTCATATTTGAAGCACTCCCAAATTTACAAAATTAGATTACAAATTTTATTTAACTTAGAAGAAACTACATGTTCAGTCCTAAGGTCAGAGTTCACTTCTTAGAATGACTGTAGATGGTACTCTCCCCACCTGACTTCGGTGCGGTGAGGTGCTTGTTTGTAGAAAAGGGTTCCATTTTGTATTTTATTTTGACTCTGTTCTTGGTTCCCTGACTACCTACAAGTCTGGATTTTTTTATGTGCAAATGATTTGGGCACCTAATACTCTGTGTCAAATATCAACTCTCAACATGTACTCCTTCATACCTCTAATCTGGTAACATAAAACGACAGTATGATTTTATAAACAAGACATAGTCTTGTCAATAATAATAATAAAGCAAGCATAAAATACAAAAACATTATGATAATTCACCACAAAATTCATTGAATATGTGTCTGTATTCAGGAATTTCTTAATTAATAATAATTAGGAAATTCCTGAATACAGATACATACACTGACACACTTATTTTCGTCTTGTTTTGGTTACTATACCTTGACTCTAGTCTGGCATAGTACACAGCAATCAGTGTCAACCAAGTATAACTCACTAAACCCAATATAAAGCATAAAATACCAAACAATAATGATAATTCACTACACACTAATTATTATTGTATATATTCAATGAATTTAGTGGTGATTTATTATAATTTTTTTGTATTTTATGCTTGCTTTTTATCATTATTAATTGTATTTTATGTTATTTTAGTTATTTATCATAGAGTCATAAGATTATTGAATAATCAATTTCCAGATAGTTATGTAAAAAAAAAAAAAAAAATAATAATAATAATGAATGGTTAATCTTAGATATTGCTACTTATTATGAAAATTTAAATGCAAGATCCAAAGTATTTAAATCTGATGTTTGATGCTTTAGAAGTTTGAATAAACAAACACATAAAACTTTTTTGTATTGTCAACTACAAACGTCAGAATTCTCATTTTATCTTTATTGGACATTTTATTGATGGCATTATTGTCCTTTAGAAAAATTATTTGATGCCATTTCTGTAAGTTTAAAAATACAACTTCTATTCCCTCTGTTGATGGATTTTGATAATTACTAAATATTACTTTCCATTAAGGCAGCTTTCCATTAAGCTGATGGCTTTTGTCATGAATTCCCCTAATGATTATGAAAAACTAAAGCATTTTTCTTTATTACAGAAATTAGTTTTATTGTGTGAACGTCTTATGTTTTATTTATTTCATTTTTCTGTACATCATATTATTATTATTAATTACAGTATAAAATTAATTTAAAGTTAAAACAAATTTTAAAAAATAGGAAGTAATTATAATGATACAAATTGCAAAATGTTGCTGGAATACTATTTTGAAAAATTTTAATTAAAAATATTAATTTTAAAATCATAAACAATAGTTTACATATATATGTTATTAAATAGGAATGGATGGACTACTTCACAAAATCGTCTTTTCAACAAAATAGTGAAAATTCTTCATGCTGATAGATTAGCAAGACTTGCATATGAAAGTAATCAGCATGAACCAGTTTTACGTAGAATAGCAGTTGATAAAACTGCAAGACGTATGAGGCATGTGTTTTCATCTTTTAACTGGGTATGTAGTATTGCTAATTTTATGTTCATTACATCCATATTGATATATATTTATATTATTATTTGTCATGTTACATTTACCAAATAATTTAAAATTCCTGTCTTTAAATAAGTATAAATCAATAACATCTTATGACCTGAATGATCTTAATTGAAAATAATTTTGTATCAAACAAATTTTAAAAATTTACCATTTAGTATTTATTTTATATTATAAAGAAAATAGCATTATTATTGATAAATGAAAATAATTAGTAGTGACAAAGCTGACTTTGCAGAACAATTCTTTAATGCATTTCTGTCTGTTAGAATAAAGGTCACTACACCATACGGTAGTTCAAATGAAAGCATAGCTTAGAATGATTATTTTTGATTTTACAAGATTATGCAAATGGTATATATTATCCTTATATTATCCAAAAATAAATCAGAGAAACATACTTAGTGTATTTATATTTTAGTCATTTTATGCCTTTATTCCTTAATTAATTTTTTCAAACAATAAGGACCTGTAGTGAAGAATTTGTATCTGCATGACATGGTTTCAATATTTTGTATTATTTAACAGAAATTTGACATAAGTTTGTAGACTGGTTGGTTATAATAATAATGATGATGAAAAAGTACAAGAAACTGCAGAAAGCATATAAAGGACACAATACTTATAGACAACACTTATAGGAAAAGCCACATGATGCACAAGACTATACAACACATCACATTGGGTTGCAAGTTTTTAATACAAACTTACTACTTATGTTGACAGAACCAAATAGAAAATATAATGCATCAAATGCTTGTACACAAATACAAACTAGTACAAACTCAGGAATCACACTGTAAATTCAAACCTCTGACAGTCAAGGAAAACAACACAGAAAATTTACTGACAACCATAATCACATACAAAACAATTCATGACAACAGACCAAGCATCACATTTATTGACAAACAAAAGAAAATCATATACATTATAGACACAAATGTTCCAAAAATTTAACATACAAAGTAAATACACTAAAAATAAACCAGCAGTTGCTTAACTTTTCCAGCAACATTTGATGGTGCCATCTGTTTACAATATTGTATTAAAAGAACTTTTTGTATTTTTAATTATTATAAAATGGCAAAAAAACTTAATTTTAAGGGTAGGGATGGGTTTTATAAAAAAAATTGTAAAACACACTAACATCCACACATACAGAAACCCCCCAATTCTTTTCTTGATGTTTCACTTTTCTGAGTCCAAAAATGTAAAAATCTTGGGGAGAGTCATTTTTTTGACTGATCATCATACTTTCCCTCTGTTATGTATAACAGCTGGAAAAGTAAAATTAGTAAATATATGGAAATCATCCATAAAATAAAGCATCTGTGGAGAATGGATAAAGTACCTATTGTGCCAGTTGTATTTTCTTGCACAGCAATCATACCACATACATCTGCACATTACACAAAAGTCTTGAAACATTAGGGCTTCACAGCATCATCACACTACAAAAGGCTGCTATATTAAGCATGTCATAAAGTCAGGAAATTCTTAAACACAGATGTATACTCAACTACTAAAAACAAATGTTATGTTTACATACTGCATATGTCTTGACTTTGGTCTGGCATAGCATTAAGCACTGGTATATATGATGCATAGGGTACACTCCACCAACACAATAATAATATAAATTTTAAGCAAAATTTGCTATCCTGGGTTTTTGACTAAAACATAATAAATATCAATTATGACTGCAGGGTTAGCACCATGTTGAGATGCCATGTCAGGACGGACATCACTGCCTGTAGGGACAGAAATCGTGATGGTGGTTATGTTTTGTTTCATATGCGAGCAGTCGGATTTGGGATGGAGGAGGTCTGAAAGACAGTGCGTCCGAAAGAAGTGCACTCAACTACAGGGGTTAACATCTGCAAATACCCGTTTATTTACATAGGATTATACATATATTTACAGCTATAGGAGGTTATTCATGATTTCAATATAGAGTTATTAGGACTATTATAGCAGGTCCATAATCATGAGATAGAAAGTTTACATTCGATTGCATGCTGATAAATACCTTGAGTATTTAAGTAGCTGATGAGGTTGATTCCTTGTTTGTTGGCGAGGTCAGTGTCGAGAACATCTGGTCTGTAGAGTGTCAGGTATCTTGAACATCCAGAAGATTGATGTGGATCACTTTATGATAGGTTGATGGGATGAAAGTTCAGGTAGTTGGATGTTAGATCCAAGGTGATCAATCTAGGTGGTAATTGGCAGGATGGGCAATGTATCTGAGATCCAAGAAAGAAAAGATGAGTGATGAACTCTGGAAATAGCAAATTGCCTTTTCGATTTTTTGCTTTTTCACTTTTATTTGGGGTCTTCCTCTTTTTCTTCTCTTGTCCATCTTTGGTAATGTTAAGTTTTACATCCAATAGACAAATTTTGATTCCTGTTTATATATTTGGAAGATGTGTCACCTTTGAAAGGAAGTGAATCCTAGGAAAGATACAATCACATCCTGCGATCTTTATTAAGCATTGGAAAAAAAATCATATAAAAATTTTTTTGTTGAATAAAGTTTCCCATCTAGACCGGGTTCTCACACGATAAAGTTTATAACTTTTTATATTAATAAATGTTTTTAAAACAGATTGATATTTAATTAAAACAGTTTTTTGTAAAATTTGAAAATATTTTTTAATGGCTATTTTTTATATCATTTTGAGTATTAATATTATTTTAATTTCATATAATACTTTCTAAAAATATGTTTAAAAATTTTAACAATTTAATTTTCTTTTTGTTTTAGGATATGAAACTCTTACAGTGGTTACATCAAATATTTTTAGAAAACCTAAGCTTTTCATATTTAACAGCTTATCTTGATGTATTGCAGACATTAAAGTCAAAGGTATATTTAATCTATTTATTTGCTAATCATTTAAATATAATGACAAATGCCAATAATTTAAATTTAGATAGATTTAACTTTCGACTGCATAAAACAATTTATTTTAAATGAATAAATTGACTAAGTTAAATTACAAACAAAAGATTGTCATAAAACATATAGTATTTCATATATAATTTGATATTCAAAAATATTTATATTTACATTGTTTTTAATTATTGCATTGTTATTTTTAGATAAAAATTAGTTTTTTTTTTAATTATACTTAAATATCTAAAATTTAATTTTAGATCCCTACTTTAATTGATAAATTGCTGACAATGCCACCATCAAGTAAAGCAGGAAATAATGAAGCATTAAATTTACTACTTAAACGTCCATGGGATCCTGTAGCTTCACTTTTAAATCAGCATAAACCTGTAAGTTTTAATTATTTAATTTTATAGCTTACTGCCATGTGGCAAAGGAAAGATTCAAATGTAACTGATCATATTATTCCATAAGAATTATTAATTTATTTTTTCTCAATATAAAGTTTTATAGATTGAGATGCTAATTTAAAAATATTGTTTTAATAATAATAATAAACAAAAATATAAAAAAACGTTCTAGCATTTTAAATTTTCTGTAGAACAGTTAGTATAATGTATTTTAAGCATATACATAACATAGATTGCTAGGTTGTTATAATAAAACTTATTCTACTGCAAGAATGTGATAAATAACATGTTGATTAGGATCTATTGCTATTGTTAGTGTGAATGCAGTCTTGAAAAATGAAAATTGCACTTATCAAAATATTCTTTGTGCTTTGTATTATAATTTTAAAATTTAACTATACTTGATTTTACTAATATTTTTAATTAAATTTTATTGAATAGAAAAAATTGTCATGTGCACCTTTACTAGTCCTTATACCAAGTGGGCCAAGTCAACCATCTGTCAGTCATTCTAGACGCATGAGATTTTGGCAAACTCAGCTTTCTGCTTTGGGAAAAGTTGTACCAGTAACATACCATGCTGCAAATGGAGGAAGTGGAATGTCTGTTAATCAATGTCTAGAACATATCATAGGTGCTGTTCGCACTAAAATTCTTGAGGTAATATAAACTATTATAGTATTTTAATGATTATATTTCATTAAACAAATCACATTTGTCTTTGACATAAGAAATTTCAATTATTGCATTTTCTACAAACTTTCAGATATATATATATAATTCCATGTGACTCTTTAATAAAAAATATCTGATATATATATATTTTTTTGAATTAAAAAAATTAAATAAAGTGTCCTTTATGTTTAAAAACATTTTGTCTGCTTAATGATTGTACTTTTATTAACATGAAACAATTAACAAAATATTATGACAAATATGAGTTCTTTGGGTTTTTTTTATTATTTTTAAAAATAATAAGTCTGTAGAGGCACATGCAAAGACTTACCCCATCTGGAAAGTGTTAAATATCTAAATAGATTAGTTATGTTAATTTAAGATCCACTTAAGCCAAATGATTGCTGGATTACATCAAGCTATATTAGTGCTACTAATTACTAATTAAATTTCAAGTAATTTGGTCTATAGGTAGACATTTGGTATTATCTCATGATATATTTAATAGTTAATTTATAAGGTTCTGGAAGAAAAGAATCTACCTGTAAATGGAGGCAAACCTGCAACTCTGAATTGCTGTTCAGATTTGCTGCCAGTTACACAATTAGACCTCTGTCCAATCTGTACTTTGGCAATCGTTTTACTTTAATTTAAAAATTGGGTTTATAGGTGTTTATTTATAGCAAGAAAGTAATTTAAATGCAATCAACATCATTTCTTAAGATTTTGTATCTTAACAAATGATGTTGATTGCTTTTAAATTGAAAAAAAAAATTCTTAGTGTGTTATTTTATATATATAATAATTGAAATGTGCATAAAATATTGTAAATTAATATTAATTTTTTGAACTTGTAGCTGAAGAGTCATTTTCCAAATCGACCAATTGTATTAATAGGCTGGACAATTGGAGCTTTAATAGCTTGCCATGTAAGTGAACATATTCTTGAATTTAAGATATAAAATTTCTGCTAAAATTCAATGCTTTAGAATAAATATATTTTCAAGCTTTTGAAAGTTTTACTATGAAGTAAAACTTTCAAAATATTTTGTATTTAAGAAAATAACTATTCCTCATTGTCTTACTATGTTATTAAAACTAGCAACAATACTTTGTGTATGAATGTAATAAAATGTAGTTGCAAGGAAGTTAACTGCTTAAAAGATAAGAATAAAATGAAATTCATTTCAATAATTGCAAGTAAGAAAAAAATTCTCTCATACTTCTTTTTTAGTGTGGAAAAATGCAGCAACTATATGAAATTCATGATTATATTAACATGACAGATTTGTTACAATTCAAAAAGTAGTTTGTGGTTTGTACAAAAAATCTGTGCATAAACATTAAATTTAATTTAACTAATGTATAATATATTTATGTTTGATGCAAAAGATTCTTTATAGTTGACAATATTCAATTGATATACAATATTCTTTGTAATAACATGATTTGGTAACTAATGTTAAGTTTTTGCTATCCTCATTCATGTAATATATCAATGCAATTTGTTTCTTTAAGTTTCTGGATTATTTGTTTGTGTGTGTGTACATATACTAATTAAAAGAACTTGGTGGAAATATTGTTACTAGTGAAACATGCATAAAAGTTGTTGCTGTTTCAGTATCATGAGAAGTATACAATTTTGAAATGCAAAAAGCATTTTATGATTGCATTAATAACCATTAATTGTACTTCATACCTGTTATTTTTGAAATATACAAGACAATGGTAACAGAAATTATCATCTTTTTGTGAATAACTATTTCTTTTTGTTTCTCTACTTGATGTCATCATTTACATGTCTGTGACGTTTTGCTTCATTCAGATTGTTAATTAGTATTATCTGAAGACTATTCTAGAGTTTTAATTATTTAACCAATATTCCATATGTCATCATTTTAATAATTTCAATTTATAAAAAAACATTTTTTTAATAAAAAAACCTTTAATTTAAAACTCAGCGTAGACTGCATATTGTATCAACAAAACACACTCAAAACACCTTGTAAATGTGCAGCTGTATTTTCTGTTTATTCTTGATAAAGGTCATTAAATATGACCGAAAATATTTGAATTTAATAAATATGGCTGCATATTTACAAGGTGTTTTGAGTGTCCTTTAATTTAACTTCTAATAATTAACACTTATACATTAAAATTTAATATTGAATATACTTAAATAATTTTTTTTATGTTTTAAAAAAGATTTTGCACTTCTTAAAAATTTACATTTGGACAACTACGGATATTGAAACTTAACACTACATGAAAGAAAAACTCAGTTTTTTTGCAGTCATTACAATGATTTTCCATATGCACCACTGGTCACAAGGCAGACATTCAACTAATAATTTAGTTCTTCCCAAACTTACAACACCAGATTCCACGTGACAGTAGCTAATGCCTCACTTATTCAATTCTTCAGTTCATTGAAATTATGTAGTAGTGGTGGTATAAATACAAGCCTTTCATGTAGCTCAAAGGAAGCACTCTCCTACATTGCCTGTGAGATCTGGTGAAAATGTAGGAGAGTGTGGTCATTGTTTCAGCACATCCAATCCATTTTTCTGGAGAAAGTCTACAACTTTCCCTCTTTCAATTGAGGCATCAGCATGTCTGCAGCTTGTCATTTCATTGATGATGTCCTCCACAAAGAAAAATGTTTACACATTTTGGTCTAGGAAATCACACAAAACAATCTTGTGAAAGTTTGATAGCTGTTCTATTCTTTGGTGATCACCACTTTATTACCAAATATTACTGTGAAATGAACTGGTAGTGTCAAATCTTTTTAAAACATGCTGTACACAAGAGATTCACCTGAACATCTATCCAAGGGCAAGAGGGATCTTTCCAACATTTCACAAGTGTATACATGAGGTGCATGTTTGTTCCAGTGCAAAAATAAGGAAATCATTTAAGACAATTTAGCATGACATACAAATAACCTCTGACTATAAAAGATAAAGACAACATTGACACAAAAAGTGAGTTTTATTTTATTAAAGAACATGTTCAAAAAAACTTCTTTCAGCAGCAGTTCAAAAATATAAACCATGGAAAGCGAACCTTTTGAGTCCACATCCCATATTATAAGAATACTTAGCTTTAAAGATGCTAATGCATGCCAAAGTTTTAAACTTCAAATAACAATATTTAAAGAAATTAAAGGAATATGCTTTAATTAGAATTAATGTAAAAACGCTGATTGAAAAAGACAAATAAATTGAAATTGTATGATATTTGAGTTGATTTCTCCTTACATGCCACAGATTTACCGCCCCTGATATAAACTGAAGTGTGTGGCAAGATTGATGACACGTAATATCATTGGTGTCAGCATTTCACGGGCATCTTGTATACTTTCCACAAGATCACCAACAGCACTGTGTGATGTTGGTGACGTATCATATACTAATTCTTTTAGGCGATCCCAAAGGAAAAAATCCAGAGGGGTTGAGTCTGGAGAATAAGATGGCCATGGAACAGGATTGGGTGTCCTATCCAGCAGTTGCCAAATCGCTCTGAGTCACTGATAAATGTGTTCCGTGACTAAGGTAGTTTGCTATCATACTGGTATCAAATCTGTTGTAGTTGTGCCAATGGAAAATCAAGCCATTTGTTCATTGTCATGTTGAGGATGCCCATGTATCAATCACTATTCAATGTGCCGTCAATGAATATGAATCAAAAAGCTCCTCACCCCAAATTCCACATCAGACATTTAGAGTAAAACATACTTGGTGTCATGAAAGTTGCATGAATTGTGGAGCATGCTCTGCCCAATGGAGCATTTTATGGACTGATGAGACAGTTTTCTTGGAATGGAGTCAATTTTATGGACTCCATTCTGAGAAAACAGTACCTTGTCAGTCCATAAAATATGCTAAGGAGTTATGGTTCATCATCTGTAACTTTAACATTGTGCTGTGTGGCATCATCTGCATGTTGTGCTAGTTGCAAATAGCAAGAGAATGGATACTTGTCATGGTGACATAATAGCCAGTGTATTTGTGTTTGCAGAGATCAAAACCTAACCTAACTTAACCTAATCAATGCTGGAAAGATCCCCTGGTTAGATGTTTAAGAGAACATCCTGTATATACATTGCATGTCAAATATTATATTATAAATGTTGTTTACATGACCAAGTAATTTGCTAAATAATTTTATTTAATATTTTTTCAGGTTGCATTAGTGGAAAGTGTTACTGCTGTAGTTTGTCTTGGATTTCCATTAACTGGAATTAATGGTCCTCGTGGTGTAAGTAACAGCAATGTTGAGATATTTTGATATTAATTCAAATAAATCACTGTATTTATTATAAAAGAGCTTGTCTCAAAAATTCTTGAAACTAATATCTCAAATACTATAGTAGAAATAATAGACTTACCATACTGCTACTGGTAACATCAAATTGACACTTCTATCATTAGAATGCAGACAAATTGACAATTTCTCTGCATAATTTGTTCTATGACAGATATCTGTGTATTTTTATGTATGGCTGATGAGGGTCTTGTGTACCAAGTTGCATTCTAATGATATAAGTGTCATTTTGATGTTACCAGTAGCAGTGTGATAAGTCTATTATTTCTACTATAGTATTTGAGATATTACTTTCAACTGTATTTATATTCAAAATAACTTATGTCTGAAATTAAATTTTCTATTTCTTAATTCAAATTAAAATTATTTTGCATTTAATTTAATGACATCCCTCAACATTTTAGTGATAAATGTTGACGTATGTACTTTTTCTTTGATATCTTCATTTACCTTAAGTGGACAAAATATAGAAAATTACTGTCATTGTTTTTAGTTTAAAGCAAGAATATTTTCATTTTAAGATATTTTATATTTTAATGAAAAATTTTTAGATTCAACTTATCAGACCAGTAGCTACATTTTCAATAATATTAACATTGTATTTTTTTCTAACATACTTTGATCTAGGAAATATAAAATTTGATAGAAAGATTATCATTTTAAATTAGTTTATTATATTATTATTTCCATTTTATCTGAGATTAGTTTAACTAATTTTATCAAATGATTTATATTAATTATAAAATAAATAAATAGTTTAACATTTACTTTATATTATTTATTTTATAATATTGCAGAGTGTGAAATTATTACATTTATTTACTTAAAATACTTACAGGATTTAGACGATCCTTTATTAGATAGTACAACGCCTTCCTTATTTGTAATTGGTCAAAATTCAAATATGTGTATGATAGATGATATTGAAGATTTTCGAGAGCATATGAGAGCAGAAAGTGGATTGGTTGTGGTAGGAGGTGCTGATGATGCATTAAGAATATCACAAATAAAAAAGAAATTAGAAGGAATTACACAAGTTATGGTGGATAGATGTTTACTGGTATTATCTTATTTTGTGAATTATAGTAATAAGTATTTGAAAATATAAATATCCAAATATTTCAGAGCGAAAATAAAATTATTTTACCCACAAAATTTGTAATAATCTAAAGTTAGGCACACACATCCACTCTCTCCTTGTTTTTATTATGTATTTTTACTGCTTGCTTAAGAAATTTTCTATAATATAGAAAGTTAATTAACAGATACCTGTATACATTTGAAAAAGTTATGTTAATCATGGTGTAATTAGTACGAGTATAAAAAACGTAGGTTCGAATTGTATGCAGGAAATAAATTTATCATATTTTAACGATTTTATAAATTATTCAAATATATGTTTTATACTGTTATTTATTTATTATTTTTTATAAATTGTATTTTTCCACAAAAGCTAATAATTTTTATTTATTTATTTTTTAGCCTAACAAATGGATTGTTTCTGATCGAAGAGAATATTGGAGTGCCATACTGAAATGTCTACGAGTGATTCTAGTACCTATTTATCAGCAGTTAGATGGGGAGACGAAGGATATTATCTCAAAGAGTTCACTCAAAAATTTCGTCTACCCCAAGTTGCCAAAATTATCAAGGGACAATATCAGAATCTAGGAGTACCGAGTCTACCATCTCCGTCTCTAAATAATGTAGTATTATTAGCATCAGCAGGAAAAAGACTAAAAATAGCTGCCCAATGCGTTAAGTTTAAAGATGGAAGAAAACCTGTAACGCACGGACCGAAATTAGCAATACCCGACACATACGAGGGGTGGTTTGAAATCCTATCCGAAGACGGACGTTGTGTTCGGTGCATCGACACCGTTTCCGAATTAGTCAAGAAGTTTCCGGAGATATGTTTAGTTCGCGAGAGTATAAAGGCTTTTGTATGCAAAACTGATGATCCCGAAGCTGTTACAGACAAAATGAAAACAATACAAGTTGGAGAGACATTAGTTCTTGTCAGTGAAGTTGTAGCATCTCCTAGAGGAAAAGCTTCTGGTAGATATTTAAGGTGTTTCACTTCTAGAGGCGAAACTATATATTTAAGTGTGGATCAAAGAGGCAAATTTAGTCCAATTGCTGGCGAAGAAAATATATCCGGCGTACATAGTGTCAAAACGTTAATTTCTAAAAGGTTCCCTATTATGGTGAGGCTTGTGAGCGGCAAACCACCCGTTGGTTTAAGAAATACTTCGCATTTTCTACCTGAAATGCGTCTTTATTCCTTATTTGAAGAAGAAACTATTGTCGCGTTACCCCTTATGAAGGAACAGATTGCTATCACTCTTCCTCCTTCAGCTCACTTGAAAGTTCAAGCACCCAAAAATGTTGAGGGGTTAGTAAAACTTCCAGAATATACAAGCCTAGTTGAAAAATGCGAAAGAATTATTAACGAACTGTCTGATAGGATTCAGTTGTTCGATGTGCCATCGAGTAAGGATTCTCGAAAAGAGAAATCTTCAAATCCATATGTATATTATAGAAAGCACAAAAATAACCATTACAATAATCACTACATTCAACGTAGCATATCGGATCCTGAAGGTACTAACAAGCCTACAAATACAGAAAGACGTTCCTCATCCCCAGGAATTTTATATAACAGAGAAGGATTAGATTCCGAAGATCAGCGCTACGTGGAGATTGATCAAATATATGATTACATTCGAGGATTTTGTCCCCTTCCAGATAAGATAAAAAACGAATATCCTGACGAAGAATTCACGACAGTAGTCAATTCTACATCGGATGTACCAGATAAACCCGAACCACCTCCAATAGAAACCATTCCGGCTAGGAAAGTGTCAACTAGTGATAGCACAATATCTACCCAAAAAATAACCGTAAGCATTATCAACAAAGCTAGCATCGAAGAAGGCAAGCAGGAGCATATTTATGAGAAAATAAGAAGAAAAAGTGATCAAGATATAGTTAAAAATCCATTTAGATCAAACAGCATAGGTAAAATTTATGTTCAGAAATACCAAAATAACAAAACGATCAATAATAAAAACATAGCTCAACACAGATTTCAACAGAAATCGCGTTTATCCAAGCATAACAAGGGATCCGCAAAAGATTTCCCTTTTCAGAAACAATCTAGGTCAAATAAAACTTATAAAAATAATAATAATAAATCTTTAACTACTTCTCCATTGTTTAATATACGTTATAAATCGCTGAACAATTTAGCTTTAGATTTTAGTACTTTAGAATCGAGTAATTCCGGCGGTCAAGCATCATCAGGAGGAGGAGGAGGAGTGGAGACGAACAATCAGAATACAGCTAGGAAATTGCCAAGACCAAAATCGTTAACCAATTTATTTTGGGAGACCGACAAACAAGTAGAAAAATGCAACAAATTTAATTTGTTACAAAATGATATAAGCAGAGGCACGGAAAATCGAAAGTTAATTTTTACTCACGAACCTTTCAATGCGAAACTGAATTCTAATGTTCAAAATAAAAGGTTCGGTACTTTATATCTGTAATAATATTTCCAAAAATATTATAAAAATTAGTGTTAATAACTGTAAATTTGACAAATTTTGAGCTCATGTAAGGCATAAAACATATGCTTACAAATATTTAATTTTTCGGAAATTCATGTTTATGTTTTGATCGCATTCAAAAATGTTTTGCTGTGTAAAAGTCATTTATCGTTTTTGTAAANAATTACTTATTATATTTTCATAAAACTTTATAATTTTTAATTAAAAATGATTACTTTTAATCTAACAAGTAAACTTTGTTTATCAACCTGTAGTTCGCGGTCTACCGCCGTGCAAATTTATATTCCTTAATGTTAACACGCTTTGTAACAAACATAATTAATTATACTGTTAATAAATTCAGTCATCAAAATAAAATTTAACAATTTAAACTTAGGATGAAATTGGTGATTACTTAGAATCAGTATTAACACAGCCACCATCCACTCCTGTTTCATTTTCACCTCATTCAAGAAAATCAAATAATGCTTTGGAAAATGAAACCAAAAAGAAGAAAAGAAAATCATCTAAAGACATAGAAATGGCTGATTTATCCCCGGTTTCTAAACGGAAACCAAGAATTTCTAGTGGAAGACAGGTATAAGTAAATATTTTACTATTACTGTTTCATTTCATTTCATTTTTATGATAAATTTTACACAATGCCTATGAATCACATATTCTATTTGATATTGAGATGATGTATTGAGCTTAGTATTAAAAATGAATCACATGGAATTAAATTAATATAAATATAATGAAACTAATTAAAGTATTATTTGGATGAATATAAATTATAAAGCAATTTCTCCTAATATGATTCATTTTGGATTTCTTAATTTAGTAGAAAGTGAAAATTATTTCAAATTAAGATCAAGGTTATAACCTAAACTTTAAAATATAAATACATGAATCCCTTATCAATTGCAGTTTTTAAATGATGCAATTTATTACCAAGAATTGAATTAATGAAAATATTACATTAATTCTTTAACTTTACATAATTTTTACAATTTAGATTAAATGGAACTTTTTAGTTCTATTATATATAGACAAACAAAACACAAAAAGAAAAAACACTTTTTAAGATAGACTGCTTAAAATAGGGAACTTTTTTAAGCTTAATTTTGAGGGTAGGGATTGATTTTATAAAAAAGATCATGTTATGAAAGGTTAATATAACATTGTGAAAAAATCCAGCAAATGAATTACTTAACTTTCCCAGCAAGATTTAAAACTGTATGTTGTGCTATCTGTTAAAATTGCCTTTAATAATAAAATATCATAATTATTATAAAATGACAAAAAGCTTAATTTTGAGGGTAGGGATTAATTTTTAAAAAATTGTAATGACAATTTTACTCATTATTAGCATTTAAGTTTAACCCTACTTAAAGGAGGTCAAATGAAATATGTTTCATCTCCCATTCTCTTGACCTTTAACTACCAAAATTTAATAACATCAATCTCCTAATACACAAACTTCCTTGCAAAATTTCAGAAATTTTCAACAAAAAACACAGGAGTTGTTGAGCTTCAAAAAGGGTGAACAAAATTGTGTCCTTCACCTGAATTTTTTTGCATTTCTCAACATTTCAAGGTCTTGAGTCCAAAAATGTAAAAATCTTGGGTAGTCATTTTTGACTGATCACCATACTTTCCCTTTGATATATATAACAGAGACAGTTAAATCATAAATTTATTTCTTTCCTAATTGAAAATATAACACTAACATAAAAATCAGTATGTAAAGCATTTTCAAACTGGTGTACCTCTAGATTTAATGGAAAGTAAACTATAAAAATGCATCAATTTTTTCCATTTAATGTATATTTAGGCAAGATAATGCATTTTTTTAAAGTTTCCATTGTTTTAGAGGCAGCTTCTATTACAAGTATCTCATGATGAAAACATTTTTTTAATTGAAATAGTAGAAAATGTTATCTGCCACCTTTTAGGCAAAAGATGGATACCAAGATAAAAGGCTTGTATATGATTTTATTGATGCATATTTTCTCAGAATTTCAAAACTACTGGACATGTATGCTGCATGAAATGAAACAAGTGATGGTCCAAAGGGACCATATCTAGAGAGAGTGATTGGTGTTTAATGAAACTGCAATGGAAAGTCCTTCAAGTTTTCTATGTTCTAAGAGGGCTTAAAATTATTGTGAAGGAGAATAACCATATTTTGTCTAGTTGCAAAATACAGTTGCTTTTTCCATCAATTTTTCATTCAGATGCCTCAATTGTCAGATGTAGTGTTCTGCAGCGATAGTTTGGCCTGGTTGTAATAGCTCATAATAAGCATCCCATGCATATTCCACCATATACAAAAGAGTATCTTAGTACTGTGAATTTTGCCTTTAAAGTGAAAGGTTCACCAGGACTTTCTGCAGTTCAGATTATTGTAGTAAATCCATTTTTTATATCCAGTCACAATTTGATGTAACAAACAAAAGTTCTTTTGTTACTTGAGTGGTGAAAAACAAATTATGATTTTGCTGACATCAATGCTCTCAGACATTACATATGGAACCCATTTTCCTTCCTTTTGTATTTTTCTTATGTCATTAGTATCCTCATTCAATGATTACTAGTTAACCTTTAATCATTTTGTAAGTTCTACACTTGATTGGGTCAAATCTTACAGTAATCCTGATCATCTGAACTCATCTCCCATGAAATCACCAGTCTTAATTTTTCAACTTAAACTTTTAGCTATAGAATCCTCACTATAAGTTTCACAAATTAATCTGGTGGTTTTTGCTGCAGTTCTACAGTGATTAAACAGAGCATAAAATGGCAAATATGCATTTTATCAGTTTCCATTTTTCAAAAAATGTTAAATCTGTGTTTATGTTAACAGTAATGAGTTGTCATGCAATAATTTTCATTTAGGTTGATTGAAACAGGTCTAAACATTCACTTAACTAATGCCATCTGAATGCCACTGATGGAAACTTTTTCATAACTCTTATTATAAAAGTAACAATTATTCTGAAATTCAGTATAAAGTAATTTATTGGTAAAAAATATTCAATTAAATTTTATATATTAAATTATTATGACATTGTTACAATGCTGGGCTGCAATTTTTAATCATATTTTTAAAATTTATTTAATTTAAAATATATGCTCTCCACATCAAATTAGTAGTGTCTTGTCCCTAAATATCATACTTTTCCTGCTAGATGTGTGACCAGCATAACTATTGCTAACTCATTTCAGGGGAAAATTTTTGAATTGAAATAACATGACTTTTAGTTTGCATCAAAAGTTCCTATATAGTTAATGGGGGCTTCCTGCCTTAGTGTTTCTATATCTGGTCTTCGCTTTCATCTATCTAACTCTGTTCTTGAGATTAAGGGAGAACAGACGGATGACAGTGGAAATTTATAGGTCTACAATTTTTTAAATTGCAACCCAATGAAAATTTTTGTAAATAATACATCATATTAAAAAAAATTTGTGAGTCAAGGTAATCCTTTCCCTAACCTGTTGTTCATATAACCTCTGTAATTGGTAAAGATGTGGTTACCAAAATACTGTTTTTATGGAATGGGAAGCCTGTACTTATATAAAATTACGTTTTCATAACTTTTAATTTTTTTCACTATTAATATCTATAATCACATTAAATAATAACTGTAAATTATTTATTTTTTGATGATGATATTGAATGCTGTAGTAAGTTTTAATAATTTATGTTTATTTAGTATTTTTAGTTTCTTATTGTATATATTTTAAAGTTATAATTACATAATAAATAGAAGTATTTCATTACAATGATTTTATTCCAAATATTGTTGATTCACAAGGCAATTATTTCTAATTTTAAATAATTACACGAATAGTTCATCTATTGTGGATTATGGAAATATAAAATTTATATTCTAATATTTAATAAACAAAATTCTACTTGTAGAATATCATTGGATGGTAATTTTATTTTTCATAAGTGTTAATTATAACAAATAACAGTCACTTTTAAACACCTGTATCTATTGGGTATATCAAAGATTATTTATATTTATGATAGATGTTGAAGGCTTTATTTTATATTCATGTATTATTTATTAATCTAAGTGACTATGTTTATCTTTTATTAATTTTAAAATTCTTTTAATTTTTTTTCCCAATCTACAATTTTATTTCTGTTTGCATATCAATGAAAAATCATTTTTATAAATGAACATATTAAAGCATGAAAACTAGAAACAATCCCCGTCTTTTGCATTATAGAGTACAACATGTAATGTTCTGCCAAAAGGATGCAGTTCATCATCATCAAGTTCAACAGATTCATCTAGCACTGGGTCCAGCGCCAGTGATACTACCACCACCACCAATAATAGGACATCGTCAGAGAGTAAGCGTCATCACTGGTGGTTGTGACATCTGACTCTTTCCCTTATCTTTTCATATCTCTCTTTCTGCACTTAATGTTTTAAACTGATCACTTTTTATTGTTTTGCATGATATTTCTATTATTATTTATGTAATATATATTTTTGACTACAATATTTTCATATTTGTCCAGTTATCTCCCTTCACTTTTTATCCTTATTTAATTACAGTATTTCTTAAGCATGCTTGCCAAGCTACCAAAATAGTAAACAGATGTGATTATAATGTAAAATTAAATTGTTTTAGTAAATTTTAATAAAAAAAAAGGTAATAAAATTAAATTTTTTTCTTTACTAAATTCTCATTATTGAAACTATTGAGACATTGTTGAAACCAAAATTTTTTTTTTGTATAAAGATTGAAATTTTAACTAGTTTTGACCTGTAAATTATTAGTAATGCTTTAAAATTTGTTAACTTTTTAAGAATAACTGTAATTATAAAGTAAGTTTTATTTTTTATAGTTTTACAATACAGTAATACATTGGTAATTTTTTATTTGTAAACTTTAAATTCTAATTAATGTTTAAACAGTATTTACATACATACTCAACTTGGCAAGTGTGAATTCTTGCTAATATATATTTTAAAAAATTTATTATCCAAATAAATTTATTAAATCAGTAAACTGTGTCATTTTTGTATATGAAAAAAATATAAGATGAATTTTTGTACTATTATTATTATATTATTATTACAGTATTCATAGTGGTTAAATATATATTAAGTATACAATTAAGTTTTAAAAAGTATTTTCATTTTGTGTTGAAGTGATGTTCATCCCTTCTTCCATCAGCAGTAAAGAAAAACACTGGTCGAAAAATAACAAAGACATCGGAAGAAAGTATTCACAAGCACAAAATAACTCCAAATGCAGATTTTATAGGAAATGAATTTACTAAAAAACATACTCAACATTCTGTTCCTATAAGTTGTAAAAATGCAAAAGAGGAAAAAGAAATATCTTTCTTCAAGAACTCGCCATCTGTTAATCCATCGGCTAAAATGTCTGGTGGTTTATCATTAAATATAGGTTCCATTTCTAGTCTTGGTCAGTTTCGACAGGTACAAGCATTAGCAACTTCTGGACAAATTTGTTTAAGCAATATGATTCCCGATTTAGGATGCATACCATTAGATAATTCACTCAAAGATGGCAAGTTTTCTATTCCCTGCAATGTGACTAATTTTACTGCATCCTCTTCACTTTCAAGTAATTCACAAATGTTTAATAGCCCTAGACATCCTGGTACAGTTACTTTAACTCCTGTAACAAATGTTGGAAGAAAATCAAATTCTAAACAGGCGACAACTCTCATTTTTCCTAGTTCGTCAACTGTTAGTTCGGTTGTTCTTCCTACAGTCACTTCTCATTCTGCAACATCCACAACAGTCCATGTAGTTGATGACAAATCAGACATACTATCAAAAATTGATATGCTCTCCAAAGATATATCTTTTGTAGAACCTGATAAAGAACAAGTAGAAGCAATTCAAAAGTTGCAATATCATGATTTTCCACTTACTACAACTTGCATTATAAAGAATTCTGGTGCATCACCTGTAGTTACCCAGGCAAAAATTCTCACAAGTGGTAATTTAAATTTATCCAAGTTGCACAGCATTATGCAAACAAATTTGCCTTGTAAAAATATTGGAAATCAACAGTCGACTCCCTCTTTATCAGACATACATATAGCTTCATCTCTGCCTTCGTCTTCAACTGTTTTATTATCAGCTACCGATTTAGAACCCACAACATTTGTGATATCTGGTGATTCAAAATCTAGGAAAAATTTTCAGTTTCAAGGTATGATTCTGAAAGGGACCGCATTAACAACTACAAAGGTATCAACGGCATCAAAAATAGAAAATCTTATGAAGAATGAAACCGATTTGATTACATCTATAAGTCATACATCAAATTTACTGGAGAATAATGAAAGTCAGATGTCTGGTATGGAAAAGGAGGAAATTTACCAGGATCCAGAAAGTAAAAGTTTGGTCGAAGAATATTTATTTATAAAAGAACAAAATGACGATCAGAAAATGGACGAATCTTCGGCAATTTATGCCAGTAAAAAAGTAAACGAAAGAGTATCAGAAATAAGTTCCAAAAGTAATTTGTGTGACAGTATGCTTGAAGAAAATGATATGAAAGATGACATAGTGATACAACAGCACAATATTATTAATAATACTCTGTTAGCTAGTACAGTAGATAAGTTTTCTATTTCAAAGTGTAAAATGAATGTGTTAAACACATCACAAAGGGTTCAAGAAGTTGAAATCAATGAAAATATTAAAGACAATATAAATTAGATTTTATTGCCAAAAAGACTACACATAAAATCCAATAAATGGACCATCAGATATTTCTAGTCATCCATCTGAATTGCATTTAATGATTATATTGCACATAAATAATGACTTTGTATCCAGAAGAAAATTCTATGTACAAGAAAATTATTTTCTGAGTTATTTCAAACATTTCGGTTGTTCATACAAATTTTATTCAAGTATATATCATTACTGTTCATTAGTTTGATGTATTTTGTGTTTCATCATATTTACAAAACAAAAGACTCCATAATTGCAAAAAAAAAAAAAAAATAATAATATATATCATATGTTAGTGTATCTGTGAAATATATTTTCTCCAATGAAATACTGTAATGTATTAAGAAATACAATTTTCTTTGTTAAAAAAAAAATATGCTAAAATATATAATAATTTCAACAGTTTCAAAAATATTTAACAATATTGTTTTTTGAAGTTTGAAGTTAAAAAATTTACTTACTATTTTAATATTTTCAACTGAATTCTGAATTTTATTAGTTAAATTAAAGTTACTACATTATCTTTGTTGCAGTTCTAGTTAAAATTATTTTGAATGACTTAAAATTTGCAATGTATAAAACGTTGTAGTGGATTATGAAAATAAAGTAGTGTTATCAATATAAGAAAGATGATTGAATTTATTTGTCAGATATCATCTTGTGTGTGTGTGTAATTTTCTTTTTTTATTAAAAAAATTTCGAATAGAGATTAATAAAATTAAGTCATTTTTGTAAGTTTAATCTCAGAATAAAGTTCCTTAATGCAAATAAATTCATACTGTATGAAAACAGATATATTAAATAATATATGTTACTGAATAATTTAACAATTTTCAATTTATTTAAAGCTTTATTTAAAATAAGAAAATCAAAATATTGTAATTGAGAGATTTAATATCAAAACAGAAATATAGTGACATGATGTGTGCTATCTTTTGAATATTTGTACAGGGTGTCCCAAAAAAATTATACACTAACAGCTGATAGTTCAGTCGATGTTTTTTTATTTCAAGGTTAAAACCATTAGTCTGACTTCTATTATTAATTCTAAACTTTGAACAAAGAAAATTCATTCTAAAATGCTACTGAAAGTGTGCAAAGACAGTTTAGGAGGCTACATTCAAATTAAATGGTACAATTAACCGCCAAAATTGCACTTACTGGGGACCTGATAATCCGCATGTTACGGTAGAACATCATGTTAATTTACCAAGAGTTTAGTGTGGTGCAGCTTATCAAGAGGATTGATTGGACCAATCTTTTTTGAAACTAATTGACTGTTCCCGTTTATTTACATGAACTTCCTGCGACAGTCTGTCATGCCAAGCATTAGAGAGGACTTTGAAGATGAGTTTTATTTTCAGCACGATGGGGCACCCCAAACTACCATCACGATGTTAGATCCTACCTTGAGATCTTGCCAAACAGGTGGATTGGACGAAGGGGTTTCGTAAATACCCTCCGCGTTCATCAGACTTCACATCACAACTATCTCCATTAAAAAAAAGTCTAAAAAGACAAAAGTCTACGCTATGAAACCTGCAACAGTTGCTGAATTGAGAGCTGCCATTGAAGGAGAATGCACACAAATACCAAACGAAATGTATCGCGATGTTTGCGATTCCATTTGCTTCGCGTTGTCGGCAGTGCCTGGACCAGAACGGAAGTCAGTTTGAAAACAGGCGTTGACAAAACAAATAATGTCTAGATTCTGTTACATTTTGAAAATAAAATATATTAATAAACACCGACTTTATAATTAAAGTGTGTATACATTTTTTGGGACACCCTGTATTATATTATCATCATTGGTGGTACTTAAAATCAAAAGTAATAATTAAAAAAATGGTTTCTAAATTAAAATGTTAACAACAAAAGTCAAATTATTGAAAGAATATAAATACTTGGTTTATAAACTTGTACTACTATAAATTTACATATTAGTTACTAGAATATAAGCATGACTAAAAACAAGCATTACATTTTCTTCTCATTCTTAAACAGATTGTATTGTATATTTAATATGCGATTAGTATACAGTATATTCTGAAATATAAGTTAATGAAACGTAAATAATAATTTATCAAATAGATATTTTTGATAAATATATTGGGATTCATTGCTCCATCTTTTTAAGTTTAACATAATAAGGAAAGTATGTATGTTTGATATACTGGGCTGACAATCCAGATAAATTCAACATAAGATGTTTCCATCTACCTGTATCTTGCACATAGGATATTAATTACAGTTGTCCCTCGATAGTCCGACGTTTTTTTAATCCGACATGCTCAGTAGTCCGACGCACCTCCCGTCAAGGTACCCGTCCCCGTTACGTGTCGGCTTGCACAGAAGCATGTCGCGATGTGAATCTCCCCATCCAATTCTTACTCGATGACACACATTTCGTGTGTTTTATGTGAGCAGTTCTGTTCAAACAGTTGGAGTAGAGAATATTGTAAGTTACTGCTAGCAAAACAATGCGAAATATGTAATTAATTTCGGTAATCCGACACACCTTTGGTCCCATACCTGTCGGATTATCGAGAGACAACTGTATTGAGATAAATGAATTAGTAGCAGCAGAATTCATAAGCTGATTAGTTCTATCGAGTTGGATTAATATCACTAAGATGACTTAACTTACGACTTGAAAATGACCCCGCACAAAACTTGAGAAATGGGAAAGACTTGACCGAATATTTAATATTTTTTAGTTCTAGTGGTCCTGACAGTCTCCACAGATAGTGGAAAAATGTTCATTTTTGGAGTTATCGAGCATCCAAGATGTAAAAATAGCGTAATTCGCGCACGTGTTGTGAAGCACAATCTTTTTCATTTCAAAAAGACGTTTTCAAACGTCATTGATATTCGGCGATAGATTTTTAAAAGCAATTTATACGTATTCTCATCAGATTTATTACCGCCAAATACAGTACTTCACTGTTCAAACTACATCTTGTATTTTCCATCTATTCGAGCCATTTGCCGTTGAAGAAACGATCATCGCAAACCGTAACAATGGAAACGACTTTTGAAAGATTTCAATCTGACTCATTCTGTTTATTAGGCTAATTTGTAAATTATTATAAAAAATGTTAATAAGGAATTATCATCAATTCTTTTCTCATTTCTCTAAGATAGATGAGGTATTAGACAGTGTAAAATATTTTTTATACATTCCTCAAAAGTGAAATCGCAACACCACGAAGGAATGCGCGTAGATTGCACCTGCAAATTGCAGCAGCAGTAGAGGATATGCAAAGTTTGATTAAGTTTGCGTACGCATCGGATCATGTGATACCCAGTTTCGGGCTATAAAGACCAGCAGAGCGATCTCGGTTTGTCGATGCGCTCGGTTGCTACGCGTGTTGGGCACGACGACGAGCAACGGGAGATGCCATTAACCGCTCAACAGGGCTGCACGTCTGGCGTGGTGTCGTCATTCCAACTGGATCACTGAATAGAATCGAGTATTGCAAGAGTTGAGATAGAAGTTATAGTTAAACTATGACTTGTGATCTTATTCGCAATATAAAGCTAATCGAAGCATTTTATTTTATGCAGCTATTTTCGGATATTGTTATTTTCCCGAAATTTTCAGATTCAAAAAGAATTCAACGAGTCATATCCAGATATTTAATTGCCAGATTTTGGTCGATAAATTTGCAATTAGTATTTGGTTCAATAGTGATAAAGTCGGGTTGGATGATTGTTTAAGGAATCAATATGCTTCAAAAATACATGATCTCTAATAAGTATAATAAAGTAGATCGAAAATTATATAAATAAATCGATAATGAATTTATTATAATCATCATACAAATGCTGTAAGAAAGATACTACCAAGTTATATAAAATTTGATTATAGACAGTTTAATCTATTTAAATTTGATTAAATTAATACACTCAAAATAATTCTAAGAATCTATTACACCTATTTCAAAAAATTAAAAAAAAGTCATAGATATTTAATAAGAAAATGATTGAAATTTAAATCACATGATATAGACATTTATTTAGCGACAATTAAATTCGGGAATGGTGTTTTTAGGAAAACATCATCATAAAAATACAAGATAAATATATATAATTTGATAAAAAGTTAGATTTTGGTCCAACTCTTTTACTTTTGGAGATGTCAAGGAATTAGAATTGCCAGTTACTCATTTAAATATTAATTTGTATATATGATGTATTTATATTTATTATTAATTTTTAAACATTTGATCTCTTTTTACACCGAAATAACCAATCGAATTTATCGACGAAAAATGGATGGAAAATCTGCTTTGCGGGGATTTGAATTGATCAGTAACAAAATCTCTTANTTAAATATTAATTTGTATATATGATGTATTTATATTTATTATTAATTTTTAAACATTTGATCTCTTTTTACACCGAAATAACCAATCGAATTTATCGACGAAAAATGGATGGAAAATCTGCTTTGCGGGGATTTGAATTGATCAGTAACAAAATCTCTTATAAGCTAATTTTTATATATAACTACGCGAAATTAATGCAAAATTATAACAAACTAGTTTATTGATATTGAAAATTATAAAATCGAAGAAACATTTTTAAATTTATATGTAGCGATAAATTTTAATTTTTGGTTCACACACAGCTGTGAATTCAGTTCTTTTTTTATATTAGCACAATCGCATATTTTAGTGAAAATTTCCAGCTTTTTCGAGTACATTTAGGGTTTGTTTTTAATAATATAAGTTTTACTAAACTATGTTTTTAAAAAGAGAGATGATATTTTTTTAAAAAAATCCGTCCTGTGGACGCTAAGAGGGCCTTCTAAGCAAAGCCTTTTATGGTTCGGCCAAGTCCACAGTTGACGAGGGATAGGTCCCGACATATTCGGACGGACTACCTTCGAAAAATTCTTGGGGTTGTTTTTTACTCATCCGGATTCGAACCCGGTTTTCCCAAAGCTGTAAGCTACCACCTTAACCTTAAGTTTTATGAATATATTTAATCGTCTGTTTGCGTGAATTCATTTGAATTATAGTATCTATCCAAAGATTTACTCGGATAATTCTGATTAAGCGATTCAGTCTAAACTTATTAGAAAGATGAGAATATTTAATTAGTTTGCACTTCTAAAGTAAACCTTTTAATTTAGGCCTACCTTTTCAGACAATGTAGAAATTTGTGTAAGAGTGATGTACAGTTATTTTTGCCATGGTCCAAAAAAAGCACAATTGAGAGAACTTCCAGAAATTTTACTCCTGGGTCAAACCATCCAGTATCATTAAATGCTGTAGTTAACATATTACTTGAA